TTTTAAAGTTGAGCAAACTGAGAAAGAGCTGGAGAATGGGCTCACAGATGTCATATGATGTCTATCTACTAAAGCCAAAATAACCTTTAAATTGTTGTAATGAAAAAATGAAATATATAGCTTATTTTTTTAAAAGGAGGAATTCACTAAACAGGGCCTAAAAGCTGTACTCTGGAGGGTTGAGATCACATCTATAACAAATGACAGCATAGTGTCTGACACACAGTGGACACTCCATCAGTGTTTGTTACAGAAAGTGGTTAGTATTTGGGGTGATCAAAAATAAGGTGAATTATTTAAATTTTAAAATGTATTACAATAAAAGACCTGCCTTGCCACTAATCCCCCTCAAAATACTCCCTCACACTGCATGCACACTTATCCCATCATTCTTAGCAGTATGTCTCTTTTTGTAATAAGCTGTTTTAAATATTCGCCATATTTTTCAGTCATTCCTTTCTTTATAAGAAACATTTTTAACTCAAAATGTACATGACATCTAGCTTTTGACAGAAAGCTGTGAGTTACTTGTCCACAGTGTCAGTTGGAAGCCCACGATCCTCAGGAAGCTCTAGCAATCGTCCCTCGTGGAAGTTTAGGAAATGACCACTCTGGAAACAAAGCAACAATCCTGCCGGGGTTTGCAGAAGGGAATCATAAACATCACTGTAAGTACTCACCTTGCTTTTGGACAAAGTGCTTTTCTGACCTACACTCGCAAGCTGAGGCGCCCATCAATGGGCAAGGATGACGCCAACCAACTTGGAATCATAAGCTATTTTTAAACGTTTTACTAACATCTAATGTGCACCCTTAAAAATAATCCAAAAATGAGCACGAAGGCTAATACCACACCTCAAATGCTGCCAAAGCCAATGCTCCAACGAAATGTCTGGCTTTAATTACTGCGTAGATTACAACTAGACAAGGACAGGCGCAGGGCAGGAAACCCCGCTTCCTATGCCAACCTTTAAATCATTAAAGCCTGCTCAGCATAAAGCCCACAGTCGGGCAGACCGAAACCAACGTGCCCGGGCTGGTGGAGAGGCCCAGCCCTGCGCAGCCGGGAGCTCGGCGTTGCCTCGTCAGCTGTTCTCTACTCTTAATGGGCCTCAAATCCCATTTTATATTTATATCCCAGCTGCTTCAAAAGGCCACGGCTGTGCCAACCAGACAGCAAAAATAGAAAGAAGAGAGGGGTAATAGCCATACACATGAACAACCAATCCATTTTAAAAATACAAAGCAGGAATTTGGGTCTATTCAGCTTCATAAAAATTAGTTTTATAAGACATGAAATGAGGTTGTGTTGCCAATGGCTGCCTACATGGAGGGTCGCTCAGGGCTGACTCTTTCCCCAGCGTGAATCATTCTGGAAGGCTTTCTAAATATGTCAGTGGTCTCCAACCTATCAGCCAACACACAAGAAAGTAGGAACTGTGTGTGAGTTATGCCTAGTGTACATACAAACACAACATTGCTCTGCTACATGATTTTGAAATTAGAGTTTCAACACAGGAGACTTGGCCTGGATGGGAGGAGCCACGAGCTGGAATCTGCCCTGTGTCCTGCGCAAGGTCATGCTGCTTTGCGTGTGTCAGATGAGCTGGTCAGCTTCCTCCTTGGCCACTGTCCAATGAGCCTGCATGGCCTGGCACAGGGTCTCAGTCCACTGCATTCTTCTTTTTAGAGTCAGCAAGGCATGTGCTGATTTCGAAGTATTCCATTCAGAACTATCAGATTCACTCACTCTGTGTTCTCTTAATCCAACCAGATCTAAGCAACTTGTGATAGCACACAATTAACCACGGATGTCTTTGGACTCACTGATCTTAGTTAGAAAGGTAGGGCATCGCTATGTGTGTGAAACCACTTAGGCTCAGATAGGAAATTGCCTGTGCAGTGAAGTAATACTTGAAAATTAAGAACAGGGTCCTTCTATCTATCTAGAACATATAATGAATTGAAAAATGTCACCCACCCCCATTCAAAGACCCAATCCAAAAATGCGCATCTGCGATGAATATGCATTTCTCAGGTGAAGAAATACAAATGGCAAAGAACTATATGACAAAATGTTCAACATCATTGGTCATTCAAGAGATACAAATTAAAACAACACTGAGATTCCATCTCACCCCAGAAAGAATGTATATCATCAAGTAATCAACAAATAACAAATGCTGGAGGGGCTATGGGGAAAAGGGAACTCTTCACCACTGTTGGTGGGAGTGTAGACAGGTGCAACCACTATGGAAATCAGTAAGGAGTTTCCTCAAAAAACTAGGATTAGCATTCGATCCAACTATTCCTCATCTGAACTTTTAAAAAGGATTAAAAGAATTAAAAATACATCAAACCACAGCAATATATGTGCACCCATGTTTATAGCAGCACAATTTATAATAGCCAAATTTTGGAAACAACCCAAAAGTGTATTAATTGAGAATGGATTTTAAAAAAAGATGAGGTATTTTTATGCAATGGAGTTCTACTCAGCTATAAAGAAGGATAAACTCAAGGCTTTTATAGATAAATGGATGCGACTTGAGATCATACTCATTAATGAAATAAATCAGACTTGCATGTGTAAACTTGTATTGTCTCCCTAGCATAAGATACTGAAAAAGTAAATAAGATCCAAAGTGTACAATAGGTATTCTGAAATTGGAATAGATTGATCAAAAGGAAAGAGAAACTGTGATGGGGAAAAGAAAAAAAATATATATATATACACATATATAAAAGCTAAGATAATTATACTACTAATTTCTATTAGTTCATTGAAAAGAATGGTTTGTGCTTATATTGTTTGATTAATTTTCATGCTTATATCTTGGAATGTGAGCAACTACTTTGAAGATAAATATTGCAATGTATTAACCATTGTTAGCCTATTACCTTGTTTTGATTATCATTGGGGTTTTTTTCTTTAAAATGAAAGAAAAAGAACAGGGTTCTTATGGTTCAGGGTTCCCTAACACTGCAGAGCTGTCCCTTAAACACAAAGGCAAGAGCCTGCAAGGAAGGGTTAGTAGTAGAAGGAGAAGAGAAACAAAATAAAAAAACTGGAGTTGCTATTTTTTTTCACAGATTTGCTTAATCATTCATTTATTTGGTGCAGCTTGGACTCCTAATGATTCTCCTGCCTCAGCTTCCCCAGCGCTGGCATTACACGTGTGCACCACCACACCGGGTTTCAGTGGCCAGCATGGCACAGGTCCAGCATCACTTGTGGTACCATGGATCGAACCCAGGTCCTTGCACTTGCCAGGCTTAACCTTCTGACCTAGCTCCCCACAGTTGCTATTAACGTGATGAAAGCCATGGAGCCCCACAGCTGAATGGAGCCTTGAAGTCTCACCCAATCGTCTGACACTTCAGATTGAGAACATAAGGTTTAGAGAGAGGGTAGATTGCCCCAGGTTACCCAGTTTCATGTCCCATCTGGACCTGGGATGCAATGTTCTGGATGCACTCTAGTCCCCAACCTGACAATTTTCTAACAATGAGACATGACCAAAATATGCCATGAACATTTACATTTCAAAAAATTTATTGCAATAAAAGACATGTTGCCATTAACCCCCCTCAAAACATAACCCCTCTATCAGGTCTGAAAGTCTCCTTTGTGGGTGTTGTAAGTTGTACTGTCATGGTTGGCTTGGTGTCCCAAATCCGTTCAAATACTTACTTTTCCTGGTCATTTTGAGTTTGAAAGAGTCAGAAGTCACTCTGTTCCAGATCCAGGGAATAAAGTGAGTGAGGACACACTAATGTTTTCATTTGTCAGATATCTCCATAAATATTTTGAATCCATTCAGGACATCAAGGCAGCCATAACAAAGCAACTAAAGACACTTGTGAAAGAGGACTTTCAAAACTGCTTCAGAAAGTGTCAAGAACGATGGTATAAGTGACTCAAAGTGAAGAGGGGAACTGATGGTCATGTGTCTCTTACTGTAATAAATTTTGTATTTAAATACATACCTTTTGGGCCAGGGAGATAGCTCAGTAAAATAAGTGCTTGCCTGGTAAGTGCAAGGTCCTGAGTTCAATTCCTGGTACCACAAAAATAAATAAATAAATAAATAAATAAATAAATAAATAAACACCTTTTTATCATCAAGCCTTGTGTTTCACATGAAAGTCATAATTTTCAGTGATATTTTCTTTTCATTCTAAGTTAGTTATAATCCTCATACATGTGAGCTATAGTATTTATGGTCGTTAGTACTGTGCTGTCACTGTCATGGGAGCTTTCACTTTTCTGTGGGACATGAATAGAGAAAAAGACCAGATACAGCCAGGTGGAAGGGACATTGTGCAAACGTCCTTGCACTTGGTGTAGTCTCCTCGGCAGGCAGACCCTGCACAGAGCTGGTAGGGGCTGAAGATCCCTGAAGGTGCAGGTTTTACCCACAGGTTCAAGTCTTCAGCTGTGTAAAAATGGAACTGAAAGCCCCTAGAGTTAGATGGAAATAGGAGAGCCACAGGCACCAGTCAGCAAAAGGCAGCCAGCTTCCACCATTGACCCATCACATGTGGCGTTGGCTCCCACTCAAGGTGAAGGTTTTTATTTTATCACCTTTGCTCTTGAGGTCTGGTTTTCATAAATGCTGATCAAAATTATGAGTATTAATCGAGGAATACAGATATCAGGTTTCATTAAGGTGACAAGAATAATCTGCCCATTATTTCTGACTTTTTGTTTAGGGATTGACAAAGCCAATTGTTGCAGAACAGCCAGCTAGAGTTTCTGTAATCCCTGATGTCAGGACATAAAGAGGAGAACATTCTAAATTGAAAGAAACTTGAAGGATGGAACAGCCAACTGTCATGTGTGGATGTTAATTGGCTCCTCAATCAGATGAACCAACTGCAAATGCCATTAAGGGACAACTGGAGAAATTTGTTTTTGGGTTTTTTTTTTAAACAAAAATCACAAATACAAGTTTATTGATTTTAGCAGAATACGAGGGCAGGAGGCTTGTAAACAATTAATGGGTCGGCTTTGGTGTCTGCTTAGCCCCAGAGTACTTGGCATTTTTTATCAACTGATACATAAAAGAATAGAAAAATAGAAGATTGTCACATTGTCCTTTGTATTTCTCCTTTAATATATCAGCATGGTAGTCTACCAGAAAGTAGTAAATGGCTTCAATGATGGAAAGGAAAGTGTCTGGCTTTCCCTTTTGATGGCGCCAAAAGCAAGTTTTTCTTGTTTTCAACTCAACTTGTAACAGCCCCTGAAGCCGCTCATCAGTGACTATCTTGTTTGTCTGGTTCCAGGTACTGTCTATAAAAATGACTTTCTTCAGGGCTACCCCTTTACATTTTCTGTCACTCAAATCGCAGCTTGCCTGTTCGTCAGTTCTCTTGCGTTTAAGAGATGGTTTCTCAGGGTCATCAGCTGTGCCTTTACTTTGAATTCTTTTTTGCAGATGAAAAGAAATATCTTTTATTGAGGTAGACTGAGGACCAGGAAAAATAAGTGCGACCTTCACAAGCGGAATCTGTTCAACGGGCACATTTTCAACTGGGACGTAACATGTATAGCAGTAGAACATCCTGGAGCCACCACACTTGAGACATTGTGACCTCCCACTTTGCTGAGCTTTTTGAAAAATTTCTTGAGATGCTAAGCACAAGTTTTGAAGAGAATCTTCTGATGCTATGAAAGCAGGTCTGGCTGTTTTGTTTCCACAAATTTTGCACTATTTTTTTCACTTTCCTTAGGAAATACAGATGGACTGACATTCTTCTTTCAAGTCACCGTGTAAGATCTATTTCTAAAACACATCATAGGTGCACTGCACAGCCCGCCGGCCCGCACCCGGCTCCAAGCATCTTCCGCTCCACTGCGGACCAGGCACGCACCCAATGACACCATGACGGACCCAACTTTTTCTTTTTGGCAGAACTGGGAATTGAACTCAGACCCTTGCACTTGCCAGAGAAGCACTTACTCCGCTGAGCCATCTCCCCAGCCCAATTTTTTTTTTTTTTTTTTTTTTTTTGTGGAACCAGGGATTGAACTCCGGCCCTTGTGCTTGCCAGGGAAGTGCTTATTCCACTGAGCCATCTCCCCAGGAAATTTGAAAGAAAGATGAGTGTTAAAGATTACTAAGGGATTACTGTTGATGTTCTTTGGGTGACAATGGATTTGTCGTTAGAAAGGGAAATACCCTTATTTTGTAGTGAGAAATACTCTTTATTTTTTGAAGGATACAGGGTACACTCTCTATGATACCTTCAAGGAGATTGAATATGAGTGAATTAGCTTCTACTGTGGCAGAAAATCCACACCCCCCTACCACCAATATACTTCAGTTACTATCGGTTGCCCAGGTAACAGTTCGTTACAGTTTCTGTAACTTCTACTTCTTAGAAATAGTTGGTCACCGTGATGCATATTTTAAAAATCAATCAAAGATAGCCAAGTATTCTACCTCTCTGCCTCCCCTTTGAAATCCCATAAAATCCTCCTTCCCTGAGCTTTTGTGGTCTGACATTTTTATAAGAGTTGATTCCTTGTCAGTGCCCATCCAATGTTTAAAAAAATCTGCCTCCAAATCCTGAGTGATGTTATTGGTGTTTCTATTGCAGTAGCAGAAATATGCTGATTGGTCACCTAAAGTAAATAGGCTCTGATATTTCATTAGGGGAGAGAGTAGCCATTCTTTTAACATTCTTTGAATTGGTTTATCATGTCTATTTCTTTCTCTCATACTAGTACCATGGAAGCCATATTTCATAAAAGAATGTAACCATTTATATATGTGCATTCATTAAGATCCTTTGAAAGTAAAGATAATTAAATTTATGAACTAATTTGACAGTATTAGTCTTTTGTGTGCATGTGTGTGTAATACTAGAGAGTGCACCAAGCTACATTATGAGTCCTTGTAAATTTTGAGACATGCTCTGACTAAGCCACTAAGTTGCTCAGGCTGAGCTTGAACCTGCTGTCCTGCTGCCTCAGCCTCCAAGAGTCCTGGTATTAGAAGACAGGCAACAACTGTGTCCAGCTTAGAGTATTTATTTTTAAGGACTTGGTTTTGGCAGTATGACAGTTTCAGGCAAAAGTATAATACACAATCAGAACAAACAAGATGGAAAAAAGTGTGGAGGCAAAAAACTACAGGTAAGATCTTCCAATTAAGTATGGTAAAGGCTTAATGAGAAAACCATTAGCCCCTCTACCCCACTCCTTTCAGTTCTGAATTCCCCCCAGTGGGCTGGAAGATGGAGGGATGGTCCTGACAGGTGTCTTCCTATATGATCTCATACATGAGCTTAAGAAGGGGTGGGGAGCCACATCCAGCGCAAACCACTGGCTACTGGATACAAGAGGTGTTCCCAACCCACACAGCCTGGCTTTCTGGGCACTTGAGACACCTCACCCTTCGCCCTCTGATGGGCACAGATGTGCCCTCCTTGAGCCTACCTGAAGTGTTAACTTGACAGTTGACACCTGGCATTTACAAGGTTGAGACAATTTCCACTTCTCTGTTAACTAAGAAGCCATGCAGCAGGCTGGTCATGTTGGGAACTCACTGGCCAGAGAGAAGCCATCAGTAGGGATTAAGTTAGGGCTCAACCACCCTCTCCCACTAAACTAGTTCCTCTAGTGGCCAACAGCCTCAAGAGCTGGAGCTCGCTAGTGACCACAAGCATGAAAGGAACTGTCTGCCAGGTGCTTGGAGACCTTAGCTCACCTACACCACCCTCTCGGCAAAATCCCTCACCTTGCTGCTTGCTGCGAGCTCTGCCTGCTCTGATGGCTTTATCTCTCTCTTCTTACAGATATCCAAAAAAACTGCTTTAAAAGGTTTCTATAAATAGCCTAATCTTAGTATCAACAAACATGCTTTTGCAAATAAACCTCTCAGAAATAATAGCCCATTTGCCTAGTAATTAGTTAACACCCAAACATGCCTTCAAAGAGAAGCATGACACAAGCCCTGGCAGTCGGTGATTCCGATCTCTATGAGCTCTTGAACAACAGGAAATACAGTGTCTGAGGAATTTAACCCGACTGGAACTCCTGCTTTGAACAGAGGCAGGCTTATGCCAAGTTTTGGTGCTCTGAAGTGATTAGGTCTCAGCACCAGTCACCACAGGTCTAAGAAGAAACTCCCGACCTGTGGGAATCTATCAGAGTCTCCAACTGTGGAATATGCAATTCTTCATCAGCGCCTCCTATCTGTACACACAGACACAGAGAGAGTAAGTGGGTGAGGAAGAGGGAAAGAAGAGGGAGAGGGAGAAGCAGGGGAGAGACAGAAAGAGAGAGAGGGCCTGTTTTTAATTCATTGTATTTTACCACAGTTAAACCTGTCACTAATTCCTTGCTGTATTCTGTCGACAGGATTTTGAAATTAAATACCAAAGACATGGACAGAAAAGCCAAAAATATGCACTGGACTCAGAGGAGTCATCTACCTCATTAAAAATAAAAATGGCTACTTTCCAGAAGACCTTGTCAGCCTATTAGAATTTCATTGGTTCATTCTTCTCAGGTTGAAAAAACTTTTTTTTTTTTTTTTTTTTTTTTTTTTTAATGCCTTAAATGTCAGTGCTAGCTTCTGAGGATATTTACCCAGTGGCCCGAATCTAACAGGATGCACAGCTGTGACTGTGGAATTCTCAGAGCTTGAAATCCTGTTTTCAGGCTCGACACACTAGATTGTCTAGGGCTTCTGACTCTGCTTCCTTTCATCTCCTTTAATCATGCCCTAAATTCTGCAGGCACCATGGGACCGGCTGAAATACAGGTATCTATTCAAAAATGGTAACTTTTCCCTGATCTGGGGAAATGCTCTGGGAATCTAAACTAAACACCTCCTGTGGTTTTCTCTCCAGTTTACAGCTCAGGATACCACAGCCGAATACTAACAGCTCTCCCTAGAATAAGAAACAAATAAATAATAATGCACAAGAGACTTGAGCAACATTGCCTTTGGGTATCCAAGCTTCGAGGTCATTTCTGACACAAGGTGATCCAAAAGGGAGGCCATTCTTATACCATAGTAATAAACCTCTAGGAAGGAAGCCAAGACGTGCCCGATTCCCACCAGCTCCAGTCTGCTGTAAGTAGGATGCCCAAAGCAGCTCTACACTACAGCTGCAGACATGGAAGTGAAGTGCTTCTGGAGAACAATTGCACCATGCACTATCAAGAGCTTTAAGGGGCTGGGGTGATGGCTCAGTGGGATAAGCGCTTCCCTGGCAAGCGCAAGGGCCTGAGTTCAATCCCCGGTTCTGGAAAAAAAAAAAAAAAAAAAAAAAAAAGCTTTAAAAATGCTGCTGCCTTTTGACTCCATAATTCCTCTTATAGGAAGTTATTCTAGGAAAAAACTAGGCAGGCTGGCAGCCTGAGCTGTAGCCAATGGTAGACCTCTGGTCAACTGTGTGAAAAGTCCTGGGTTCCATCCCCCAGTGCTATGAAACCAAGCAACAAAAACAGGGAAACGTTTTGTGTACTGAGATACTTATCACATTGCAAATCAGGAAAGATAGGGAGGGGCTGGGGAGATAGCTCAGTTGAATAAATGCTTGCCTAGCAAGTCTAAGAGACTGAGTTCAATCCCTGGTTCTGAAAAAAAAAAAAAAAAAAAAAAAGTAAAGATAAGGAGAGGTCACCTGAATTTCGAAAAGGATAGTCATAAATCATAATGCCACCACACTGTCAGAGAATAAAATTGTTCGTTTTTGAAATGAGGATATTTCTTATATAAATTGTTTGCAATTTTCCTAAGTATTCATAGAAAGAACAGTATAATAATACAAATATAAATCACTAGATCATAGGGTATATATCCATGCTATTTCTTTTCATCTTTATTTTTTGTGTTTTCCAAATTCTCCAAAATGTGCACTTAAAAATTTAATGGGAAAAGGTAGTACAGGGCTACAGGATAAATCCTGAGAGTACTTGGCTGACGTTATCAGATACAAAAGTTACAATTCTGGGTATATAGGTCTTGCTATATCTTGGTCTTAACCATCCAATAGAAAAGTATAAAAATGAGCTATATAAAGTAAATCTATATTAATATGATGAGCTGTAAAAGGCTCAAGTCAGTAACTTCTGAGGATAACCCACTAATATTACAGGCTGCTAGACAGTATTAGATGTTCAGTTGAATTCAAACACTTATAGTATTTAGATGCCAATAGAATATTCACCTCTGACAGGACAAAAAAATAAATAAATAAAAATTTTTTAAAAAGAAAAAAAATGGAAATAGAAAGAAGCTGTCAATGCTCTAATTAGCTTCGTCTCCTTTTTTTTCAATTGTTTGTACTTTTTCTTTTCTTAATTTCTTATACATTGCTCCAGTTTTTTCTTCTTTTAATATCTGGTAATATGAATAGCTCGTTGTAAGACAATACCATGTATTACAACAAATACTGTGAAATTCATATTATTTTGTCAAGTAAAATTCTGTATGAGTTGTCAAAAAAAATAAAAAATAAATTTAAAAAATTTAATGGGGATAAAACAATGGTTTTTTAATGAAATAACCTAAACACAGTACCTCACCTCCCTCTTTGAGCTTGCACCAAAATATCAAAATGAGCCCAAATAAACTCAAAGGCTATTGCTGAAGATATAAACTGTTTGGAACTTGTGGTTATCTCCATAGTTGGTTTTACAGCAGATTGGAAAATTTCAAAGTACACAAAACATAAAATATAACTCTACACACTCATGATATACATTTATAGTTTCAATGCAGACTCAACTGTGTACAC